CAGGCAGGCTGGGCTACCTGTCAGCACATCTGTCCCGGGGTTACAGGAAGGAAACCCAGGCACCGGGAGACCACCCGGACCCTCAGGCTGGGCTCTGGGTCTTGCTTTGGAGTTGGGCTGGGGCTGCTGGGGGTTCATTCATTCATTCAACAAATACCGTGTGCACTGTGGGCCAGACCCCATGATAGCATTCTCCTTTATTTACTCACTGAACAAGAATTGACTGCCTACTGTGTGCCAGGCACATCTGAATCATTGATTCATCCCCAAAGTACATATTGAGGGCCTACTGTGTGTCGGGCACCGTGATAACTTTCATTTTATTCACTCAACCAGTATTTAGTGAACACCTACTACGTGTTGGGCACTAGGATAACTGTTTTTCATTCATTCACCCGCGAGGAGCATTTACTGAGTGCCAACTAGGTGTCGGGTTCGGAGGACCTGCTTTACTTTCACTGAGTGATTCATCTCAACAAATATGAACTGAACAGCTAGTGGGTGCCAGGCACAGGAGACAGATGGTGCCCTAAACAGACATTGTCACCACCCCTGGGTGTCCCTGGAGAGCAAACAAGAGGTAAACAGAGGAAGGAATGAGAGCCAGCGTTGCCTGGTGTTGGGTGACACAAAAGATCGTGGGACTGGGAGCCAGGGGCAGGGCCTGCTTTTCACCCACCTGGACCTGGAGGGTAAGAAGGGGCCAGGGGAGGGGCCAGGGGAGGGTGTCCCAGGCGGAGGTCACGGCTGGGGCAGGGGCCTGGGACAGCACGGCCGTGTGGCTGGCTCAGAGTGCGCAAGGGGAAGGGCTGCGGGTTCTGGGCGGGCGCCGGGCAGGGCCAGGAGGCCTTGAAGACCTGGGGACACGGCAGGCCGTGCCGGGGCGCCATCGGGTTGGCTGTCCCCACCCGAGGTCGCGCACTCACCGTAGATTTTAAAAGCGTAGTAGGCCTTGAGGTCGCGCGGAGCCATCTCGCTCATCACGGAGAACATGTCCAGGAAGTCGTGCAAGGTCATGTGGCCGTCCCCGGCCTCGGAGAAGACCTGGGCGATCCTCTGGCGGAAAGGGTTGTCCTGGCCCAGGAAGGACACGGAGGCCACCTCCTGAGCGGGACCTGGGGGGGTCCACGTGGTCCAACCCTCTGCACCTTCCTCCTGTGCCCTCCGCTCCCTTCCTGTGTCCCTGGACAGCACCTCAGGCAAGTCCCCCTCGCCCCTGTGCTGTGGACCCCCTTCCTGCTCCAGGGGAAGCCACGTGGCCCGGGGAAGGCCAATCAGAGATTTCTGTTCCTCCTACAGCCTTGATTGGCTCCAGCATGAGCATGTGACTCAACCTAGCCAATCAGAGGCCAGAGATTTCTATTCCTCCTACAACGTGATTGGCTCTGGCAAGGGCATGTGACTCAACTAGCCAATCAGGGGCCAGAGACTTCTATTCATCCTACAACCGTGATTGGCTCTGGCATGGGCATGTGACTCCACCTAGCTAATCAGAGGCTGCCCTGGAATATTTTTTGAAAAATTGGGCGAGGGACTTGCTTTCTGCTGCTGGCAGAGCTGCAGGAGCTAAAGCAGGTGGTGGGGGTTCCTTCCGCTACTTTGAGGAGAGGCCACCTGGGACTGAGCCTCTTCCTGAGAGGAGGAGGGGTGGAGGGGTTGTTCCCAAGCTTGTCATCAGAGGTCCTGCTTCTAGCCAGACCTGATGCTAGCCTTTTTCTGCCGATCCACTTCATTCTTTTCCGACAGGCGGTGTCTGTCCTGCTTGCAGTGAAACAGTCTCCTGTCTGCCGTTTCTGTACCCAGAGTCCACAGATTGAAAATGTTCAGAAAACTGTCTGAACCAAATCTGTGCCAATTTTCTTTCTCCTGCCATTTTCTCCTAAGCGGCACAGTGTACAACTGAGTTCATGGGTGGCCCGTCATCTAGAGAGGATTCTGAGGTACAGAGGGCGCCACAGTGGGTTCTATGCAAAAACTGCGCCACTTTGAAGGATTTGAGCATCTGAAGATTGAGATTCCCCAGGGCGTGGCCTGGAACTAGAATTCCCTGTGGATACCAAGGGGGCGGCTGCAGCCCTTACCCTCAGCCAGCCATGCTCTCTCAGGTTCCCTTCAAAAGCAGAACCCATGTGTCAAACACCAGCCAAGAAGACCTAGCAGCTCCTGTTAGGGATCCTCCACTTCCCCAGCTCTCACTGGCCCTTCCCCTGTGTCAGCTCGTCTGTTAGAGTCTGTAAACAAGTCTGGATGGCGCCTGGCATTTTGCCAGAAGGAGTGGTTTGTGAAGTAACACCAGCGAGCCATTAAGTGTGGAGATTTCTTATTGGTTGACTGATGTATCTAGTTTATGTTAATTAAGATAAGCTGTGTGGAATGTATAAATACCGCTGTTGTCCTACAATAAACGGCTCCCACTCCTGCTGTATCAATCTACACAAGTTGTTCATCACTCCCCCCACCCCCCTACCTCCCCCCTACCCCCCCTCGCCTGCTCTACAATTCTCCAATGCTTTTATGTTGCAGCTGTGTGACACAAACAAGTTCTCTGATCCCTCTAAGCCTCAGTTTTTCTATCTGTAAAATGGGGGGTGCTTGTAGCCTCACTGGTAGGTGTGCAACAGGAGATGTTGCTACTCGGTTTCCCCTTCCTGCCCAAGGCCCAGGTATACCTTCAGCTCTGGCATGCTGCCAATGAGCTCGTAGGGCACCTTCACATCTGGGCAGCTGGTATAGTCCAGGGGCACGAGCTGGGGGGCCAGGTCCTGGTAGCGATAGAAGAGCCTGGGGTGGGGAGGAAAAGTCAGGAAAGACTGGAGCCAGGAGGGAGGGGTGACCTGTCCCTCTTCTCTTACACATGCAGCAGTTCACTCCACCCAGAAGGGAGGCGGGGTCCCTACGATCCGTCAGTCCTGAGGATCCCTCAGTCCTAAGTCTGACCCTCACGCAGAGCTGGCCTCGGGCACTTCGACCCCCAACCTGTGGGCCAGGCCAAGATGCTGAGAAGACCCAAGGCTGGGGAAGACTAGAAAGAGGAAAGCAAGCTAGAGAGAAGGAAGGACTTACTGGAGGAGGGGCCTTTGGTGTGGGGCTTAGAAGTATGCATAGGAGTTTGCCAGGAAGACAGATTTAGGAAAAGGGAGGTGCTGATGGCTGATCATTTCCCAACAAGCCTCCGGAGACTCATGGGGCAGGGCTGAGGCGACAGAGAGTACTCCCATCTTTTGAAAGGACAAATGAAAGGCATTTTGCAAAGCCCTGAATGCCACCACCACTGCCCGGGCCGTAAAGCCAGCTCTGCTCCGCCAGCCACCCTCACCTGGTGACACTCTACCTTCCTTGGTGCGTGTGAGAGGCAGCCTTGCAGAGACATCTTTGATGACCCTGAGGTCCCCAAGCTGTTAGGGACTTTCTCTGAGGAGGCCAGGAACCCCTGGGCTGCATGCCGGCTACAAACTTGACACAGGCACCTGGAACTTCAGTCCCCAAGGCCAGCCCCCGGCAGGTGCCCTTAGGCAACATCCTGAGTTTGGGTCTCTGGTCCCCCTCCCACTCTGAGCCTCCGTTGTTCCGTGGGACACTTTAGAAGGTTGGGACGGAGCCCTGCGGCCTTCAAACTCCTTGGAGCCCTGCACCTCTGCCCCGGGCCTGAGATCGGCCCAGCCCTGTCTGACCTCAGTTTCCCCAGCAGTAACCCGATCGTGATGGCCAAGGTGACCCCGCAAGCTGTCCTCACCCAGACAATGGGGCTCACTGGTGAGGAGTGTGCCCATTAATAATGGATGCCCCGTGCCCACACAGCGGGGGCGTTGGCCACGATCGCTCTGCAGCTGAACCCCAGCCAGCTTGGGTTTCACAGCTCCAAGTTCATGGGCCGGGGCCCCCGGACAATGGCCCCACAGGCTGAGTGATGACGTGGGCCACTCATCTGTGCCCATCTCGTTGGGCTCACGCCAGGGACCTGCAGAAGCCCCAGGTCACCTCCACACACCCTCACTTTGCTACCACCAAGTCCAAAGCTGGCTCTGGATTCTGCCCCTGGTCTTCCAGCCTCCAGTCCCAGCCTCCACACACTGGCCCCCGGGAGGTGACTCCACATGGGACCTGCCCCTCCCTGCTCACATCCTCCAGGGTTCCCTGCCACCTTTGGGACAAACCTAAACTCATTAGCATAGAGACTGTGACAAAGGACAGGATATGACTCCTGAGCTTCCCGCCTGGTCCTCCATCCTCCGACCCTGACTGAACCTCCCCCCACATCAGCGACACTGATGACCGAGGGCGTCCGAGGGCAGGGGATGGCGGTCTCCCAGCACTTCCTGCAGCACTGACCTCATGATCTCCTTCCTGGTGAAGAAGGTGCAGTCCTGCGGGGAGAGGTGTCGGCTTGACCAGACCCTGTCCCTGGGGCCTCCTTCCCCCGGCCCCTAGGGCCACCCCAAAGCCACCCCGATGGCCAATGCCATCCAGAGCTTGGCAGGAGCCTTGCTGACTGCAGCCCAGAAGAAGGGGAGCTGCGCCATCCCCAGGCCAGGAACCCAAGCCATGGCCCCCAGGCCCCCCGCTGGCCACCCACCTGGTAGGCTTCCAGCTGCTCGTGGGTGAAGATGGTCTGTTTGTTGCCCATATGGCGAGATGGAAGGACGGACTCCAGGACAGACTCCCCAGGGCCACGCGGGTCACCAGACTGCTGCACGCCGGTGTCCGGGCAAATCTTCCTGCCCTGGCTGTCACCTGCCCACCCGCCCCGTCACCCCCAGCCTGTGAGACTCAAGTTACAGCCAAGCTCTCTGGGCAGCCACCCATGCATCCTCGGGCAAGAGGTCACACAGCAGCCCTCCATGTCCGCCACCACTGGGGGTGGCCAGGGGTCCAGGGCACCATCGGGAACCAGGCAAGGGGGTAGGAAGGCTGTGGGCACACCCAGCTCAAATCCCAGCTATCTGCTCCCTCGCTGTGTATCCTTGGGTAAGTCACCTGACTTCTCTGGGCAGAAATAGAAATTATATTAGTACCTCCATCATTGGGTCACACTGTGGATTTAGATAGACGATTGATGGCTGGGTATAAGCCAGTTCCAGGCACTGGGGATATAATGGTGAACAAGCTAGATGAGGTTCTGAGGTGTGCACCAGGATGATGATGATGATGATGATGATGATAATTAAGTGTTGTGTTATGACTTGAGGAAAGTGATCCAAGGTCAAAGCTTGAGAAGCAGTGGGTTAAATCACACCAGATTGAGTTCTCTGTTGTTGGATTCATCTGGGCCTTTGACATTCTAAGGGGCACCGTGCACCTGCAGGGAGAAGATGCGGTGTAACAGCTGCTGACCTGTGTGGGACCCGGAGGAGCTGGGGTGGAGCTCAGTGGCACAGCCCTGGCCTGGCAGGTGCACCACCCTGGTTTCCATCCCAGCACTGCAAAATAAATACATGAGCAGGGTCCTCCTGGACAGAGAGTCTGAGGGTCTCAGGTTCTCCCTCTGGGCACCACCTGTCTTTCCACTTCCCCCTCCTGCTCAGTGTTTGGCTGTGCCACACTCCAAGTCCCCAGGAACACTCTTGGGTCTTCCCTCTCCCTGTCCTCCCTGGACCATTGCAAGTCCTCCTGTCAGGCTTCCCCGCCCCAACCTCCCCAGCTCTTTCCTACCCCACTCTGCACAGTCATGTGTCAATCATGGCTCTGATCAAGCTTGAAAGACCTTCCAAGGGCACCTTCAAAATAAAAACAAAAAACCGACAATACCAAACGTTGATGAGGATGTGGAGCAACTGGAACTCTCATACACTGTGGCTGCGGGGGCTTTAGAAAATGGGCTGGCAGGTCGATTCTTTTCTTTTTCTTTCTTTTTTTAAAATTGAGTTCAGCATATTTGCAATGACTCTGCAATCACATTCCTGGGTAGTTACCTAGGGAATGTGAAAATCTATGATCAACCAAGAGTGAACCTTAATTTAGCAAACTACGGACTTTGGGGGACAATGACATGTCGATGTAGGTTCATCAATTATAACAGACGTACAATACTTTCTTGCAAAGGGGATGTTGATAATGGGAGTCTATGTAGGTGTAGGAACAGGGAACATATGGGAAATGGAAATCTGCGTACATTCTACTCCATCTTGCTATGAATTAAAATTGCTCTTTTTAAAAAATCTAATCAAATATTTTGGAAATTCTGTCCACACAAAAACATGTAATACCCACAGAATGGGAGAAAATATTTTCAAATCCTAAATCTGATGAGGGACTAGTATTCCTAATACATAAAGAACTCCTACAAATCAACAATAAAAAGACATGCATAACCCAAGTAAAAAAATTATGTATGCTCAGCAAAAGAATCCAGACCTAAATGGTCACATATTGAATGATTTCATTTATATGAAATGTCCGGAATCTGTTTTCTGTTCTCATGGGGTTAGGGGAATGAAGGAATTTTAGGGGGGGGGCAGGTGATAGAAGTGTTCTCTATCTTTATTGTAGTGTTGGATATGTTAAAAGTTTAGGCAAATTAACTTCATCACCATTACCTGAGCAAAGAATGGTGGGCGAATCAGCCCTCAGAACCAAAAGAGGTTCAGAGAGCTCCACCCAGCCACTTGGGCATAAACAGCTTGATGGGGTAGGGCTGGGCATTTGCCTTATTTGGGCATTGCTTATTGGTTGGAAATTTGTGATTGATGGAAGCTTGGCTGCTATGACTGGTTGAGACTCAGCTCTTTGTTGCAAGAACATACTCTGTTTTAGGTTGTGGTTTGTTTACATACTAAGTTAGGTTGCAGTTGGCTAGGTAGGGACTCAAGATTCAGAAGCTGCATTAGGCCAAATTTAATTGAACAAGAATACACTGCCTGTATTCTTTTGACAAAACTCATAGAATTACTCCAAAAGGGGTGATTTTTTTTTGCATGTAAATAAATATTTTTAAATGAAGACAATAACAAAACAAGACCTCCTTACTCCTGTCACCTCGTGATTGCAGTCCACATTCCTTGCCTCATCAGACACTTGGTGATCTGGTTCTGTGCCCCCACGACTGACAATTAATTATTAATTAGTATGAGCACTCTCTGTGTACCCTCCTCTTCCTCCAGGTCTTGCTGATACATCCGTGAGCAAAGCCACACATGTGCTGTCATGGAGCTCACATTCTGGGGCGTCGTAAGTACATAACTAGTCAGGAGTGCTAAATTCCAAAATGAAATAACCAGGCTGGGAGGGAGAGGAAGGTGGGCCACAGGGATTGGGAGGGGAAGATTCCTCTGATGGGTGGCATTTGAGTAAATGACCTGAAGGAAGTGAAGGGACAGGTTACATGGGAAGAGAATTTCTGGCAGTGGGCACAGCTCGTGCAAATGCCCTGTGGTTGTGGCAAGCTTGAGGACTAGGAAGGCAGCCCCTGTTTCCCAGAGGCTCTGTGAGCACTAACTATGATTACTCAGCTAGTGTCCACAATGACCAGAGTCTGCTTCTAAGACATCCTATCTCCAATGGTGGTGTCTTAGTCCATTTTCTGTTGTGATAACAGAATACCAGAGACTGGATCATTTATATTCTTTAAAAAGAGGTTTACTGCAGCTCTGGAGCATGGAGCTGGCATCTGCTCCCCTTCTGGCAAAGACCTTGTGCTCCTCAGCAACTTAGTGAGACCCTGTCGTCTGAAAATAAAAAGGGCTGAGGATGTGGCTCAGCCGTTCACTTCTCCTGGGTTCAATCGTCAGTGCTTTAAAAGGAAAGGGGGGAAAAAGAGAAGGAAAAGAAAGGGAAACAAACACAGCCACAGGCTTGGGTGAATCTCAGGGGGTTATGCTGAGTAAGAAAAGCCCATCCCAAAGGGTTACATGTGAGTCATTCACATTCTTAAAACCGGACACGTCAAGAAGAGACAGGAGGCTGGCTGCCAGCCCGCCCCAGGGGGGGGGGAATCTGGCTGTGATGGACTTTCCCTACCTGGCGGCCAGTGCAGTCAGCGTCCTGGTTGTGACACTCTGCAACAACATTCCATCTGTTTTCCTTTTTTCCTCTGGTGACTCATTTTCCTTGATGTGAACTTTATTAACTCATCAACGTGAGATTTAGTCAATCTAAGCCCAAAGTCCATTCATTTGCCTTTATTTCTCTATGAAACCGCTTTGCCCTTTGGAGAAAAGGTAGTCTATGGGAGTCCTTCCTCCTCCCTCCCTCCTCCTCTTCCTCCTCCCTCCCTCCTACTCCTCCTTCCCCCTCCTCCCTCTCCCTTCCTCCTCCCCCTCCCTTTCTCCTC